AAAAACGTGTTATATGCTTTAATTTATTTATAACTTAAGTTGTTTAAAATAATTTTTTTTTTGAAAAGTGAGACGTTAGATCTGTCTATGATGCCTTACTTCAAATTTGAAATCTTGCATTATATAATCATCTTAGAATATATGAAAGGAAGTAAATATATTTTTTGTCTCATAAATTATAATTTTTAATTTTATTATCAATGTTAATATTATTATGTTATCAATTTGGCAATTGGATAATCGATAAATTTTAAAATACCTTCCCAAATGAGTTATTTTAAATAACTGAAAGCGCATTATGGCAAGTCATTTGCCTAATGCAAAAATAATTGGTGGAAATGAGACAATATTGAAAACCCATGAAAGATAATTATATTGTATAAATAGAATAGAGCTGAGAATTAATTGCATTTTTGAAATCAATTTTCGTAGTTAGCGATCACTGTTCTCTTTTTATTACTGATATTTTAGCAATGAGTTTTATGATATGAGTAATTAATTGTAAGACTCATAATGTTTTTATCGCAAATAGAATCTTAGTATTTGTTTAAGATACAAATTTATCTTAATATTATTTTAATTATTATATGTATTTAATTATATTTTAAGAATACTATGAAATCATAGTTATTATTTGCTTTCTTTTGTCGGTATGTTTCAATATCTGCATATTAGAAATACTAATAAATAAAAAGAATGATGAATAATAATATATTAATTATGTCAAATTTTCTTTAAAATTAGCAGATCAATAAAAATGTGAAATCGTCAATTTGAAATCATGTGTTGCCATGCTGCAAATACGCGAAAAACAGAAGAACCCTATAGTTTATAAAATTGCGGGATTTATACATTGTATCTTACAAGTCATAGACTTTCACTTTCTTCTGTCAAATAAATGAATCTGTTCTGTAGTTTTTGCTGAATCGTCACATTTCTGATGTTACTTATCGCGCCATGATAGTTGTAGTCTAATTTCAACAAATTATAATTTTTTTAAATTATCTTTTTGTAAATATATCTAAAAAATAGTAGTTTATTTTTCTGATGTGTATTATATAATTAATATATGTAAAATTTTGCATAAAATCTCAAATTCGATCGATTTCCCATCCACTTATTTCATTATTTATGATACAAATAATATCATTAAAGTTTTTGTTCAGATTTTTGTTAAGGTTTTTCTTTGATATTTATAAAATATATCATTTAAAGTTATTTTAAACTAATATTTAAAATTATTCCAAATTAAAAATTTATAAAAAGACTTGGCTGTATTTGTTGTATCTCTTTAAAGATAAAGTGTCAGTTATCAAAATCAATTTAAAAATTGTAACTAATTTTCAGCTCTGAAATAGTTTATCTTTATATGGCTTAAAAGAAAACATTAAATTTACTAAATTCTTCTTATCTATTTAAATATACTATCAACTTTAATAGAGTTAATTATTAAATAAAAAAGTATGTATCATATCGCAGTAAGATGATGCATCTAAAATTAATTCTGATAGCATATCTTTATTCTCTTTATACTCGTTTTATTTTTATTACAATTATTTTAATAGATAAATTTAATGCATTTTTAAGTTTAGTATATAGAAAAAAAATATATTCCATATACATTATTACTGCGATATATTTACGTATAAATAATACAAATGATCAAGATATTTACTTTAATTATTTTAGTAAATTAAACTTTTATCTGCTATTATATTCATGTTAAGTATGTATTCTTTTGTGTACACTTACGCATTAATATTTTGTCTTAAATTTTAGTTATTTGATATATTATAGATTCTTTATTTTCAATTAATATGTTAAATCTATTATTTCTGTGTACTTCTATTATATGAGATTATTGACATAAAAACATATACATTTTAATTAAATTTGTAATGCTTAACGTAGTGCTTAAATATTAGTTTATACACATTTGTGCGTATGTCAATATTAAATTTATGCTAAAAACTTGAGACAGGTAACTTTATTATAAAAATATTTTGAATGAAACTTAAAAAGAATTTACATTTATGTTAATTTATTAAATTTATTTACAGTATTGTATATTAGTTAAAATAATGTTTTCTCTAGAATTAGGTGCATTATAGTATTTTAATATTACTTACGTTATTTACAATAAGTGTCGTAATAATGATATTATATATTATTCGAAGTTGAAGAATTATTTTATGATTCAGAAGATACAATAATTAGCAAGAAGTATTATTTTTTTAAATCGTTCTAATTATCCTATATTTACGTTTATACATATGTAAATTATATCTAATTGTGTAGTACACATACTACGCAAGTAACTTGTAAGTACGTATCATAAATTTATAAATAAATGTTTATAGAAAACTTATTTATAATTGATATTCTTGTATATATTCTCGTATTTGTTTTGCTAAATAGATATGCTATAAAATGCTATTTGCTATAAAATAATAAGAAAATGATATTCAAATTTTATTTCACAAAAAATAAAAAATATTTTCTTGAACATACATTTGTAATTTATATTTTATATTTTAAAAAAAATAATTAAAAACAATAAAAACTATGCTGTAAAATAAAAGATATTCAAAGATTTCATTTTATAACATGAATTAAAATAATATTTATT